GCAGATCTCATGAGGACAGCAAGAGGATCTTCCTGCAAGAGCTCTTCACAACCTCCTTCCTCTGGTGCCAACATAAAGGTAGGCTTTGAAAACCAATTTTTAGAATTTCGAACAATGGATTAAAAATAAGACAATGACAAATCGTCGGGGGTTCTCGCAGAATAAAAGACGCTGTCAGACACAGTTACTGGCTTTTTGCGCCAGAAACGCGCGACTCTCTAGCTCGCGATGGAATATATGCTTTGTCGGTTATCATCAATGGAATCACCGGATAATTTTTAATCAATAAAAAATTGCCGCCATCAGGCGCGCGCGAAACGTTCGTAATTCATGGCGCGAGAACAAAGAAAATTGTTTTCGCCAGCAGCGGTGGCCGTGGGGACGATGCGGGAATAAAAAAAAAAAAAAAACGGAGAGAGTGCAAAATGTTATTACGCCGCGGGCGAAAAATATTTCCCTGCGATGAAACACAAAGAATCGCAGAGCGTTTTGTGCGATAACAAATTTATGGTGGCGAACGGGTAGCATTTTTTTTTGCAGATATGCGACCGATAGGAAAGTTATAAGTCATAAATCAGGGCGTGCTCTCGGCGGCGGACGTGCGATTGCGGCACTCGCCAAAATGATATCACGGTACACAAGTCATTACTGTACTATAGTGTGCCCTCTCTTTCTATACTCGTTTTGCTTTTTGCCTAAGCTGACCAGCTAATTATGCTTTACTTTTTTTTATTGAAGTTCGGAAAACAGTTTACATTTGATTCTATAATATTTATAATACCGATTTCTGGTATAAACATCACTTGAGCAAATTATGAATGGGACAAAGTTTTTTTATTTTAATTTTGGCATAATTTTCTGCGATTAATTTAATTACTTTTGTTAATTAAAATAATGTTTAATTGTGCATATTGACTCAAGAGTGACACTGAGTCTGAAACACTGTCATAGAAAGGTCTCTTGAAGAATTTGGAAAGGAAATAATATAATAGAAATTTAATAGGTTTAAAATTAACTTAATATATTTTTTAAAAACCTATTTTTACATCATATATTAAAGATTTTAATATTATTTAAATTAATATTCAACAAATATTTTATAATATAATAAAATTTTAATTTATGCAAATATTTTGATTAAAACCATCTTTTTCTAAACTCATCATAAAACATTGGCCAAAAAATAATTCTATATAATATTATTCACTGTTAACGAGAACAAAATATAATGAAATAACTTTAAATATGAATTGGGTTTCGAGGAGAGCAGCGTGCAATTCAATAAGTTACGTGAATATAAATTATATAAATATGTGAATAAGAAAAAAAATATGTGACAACAATCAAATAGTGTCAAAGAAGATAGAAAAAAATTAATTTAATTTTATATTATTTTGCAACTACAGTGTGATAAATATGCAACTAAATTTTGCACCATAATTAAGATCAGATTACTTAAGTAGATGTTATTATTTTCATCCTGCCTGTCATTTAGAATATGATATATTTTCACGCTTTATGTCATCAATTCTTAATTTTTATAAAAATTCCATAATTTTTTATTTTTCAAAATAATTGCTTCGGTTGCAACACGCCTATAAAAGCACTTGAGCTTTCTAACCGTCAACTTTATTTTCCCTCGCACCTGGAATCGCGAGCGCAGTGATGCAGAGCGCGCGGATATTTTATTAAATAAAGCCGTGGGTGGTGCGGAAATGAGAAAAGCTTCGGTGCCAGGAAATAAGAAGTCGCTGCCGCACCACCTCTAAATAACGATCTGCTCAGGGCAAACATTATTATCGCCAGAAATCAAATAAACTCTTCCTAATGGATTCGCCCGTAATGAGTTTTATGCTCGCAAGAGCTGTTTGCTCTCTTCGGTCTTGAATTTTTTTTTAAATGTCGAAAAATTAATTTGTTTTTCAGAACATAGAAATTTAAAATTAATTCATCACACCGGCAAATTCGACGTCGACGTTTTTTTTTCTTGTTCACAGACAAGTGAGTTTGGCGTTGTAAATTATCAAAACAAAGTTCTCATTAAAAAGGGGACAAGCGCAAAAACCGAACAAAGATCGCGTTTGTGCCGCGGGTTTGCTCACTCGCCTGCTGTTAATTGTGTTGTTGATTTTCACAACATATCAGAGCAGCGCGGGCGACCAACTATGTGTGCGCTTATGGTTGAGGCACCTCTCTCTGCTCGCTCTACCTGCCCTAATGCTTCGTGTACACAATATTAGTGCACAAAGAAAATGCCGAGCATGCTGGCGCGACCCTTTAACACATGCAACCACCTGAGTTGACTTAGCCACCCTCTCTCGCAAACACAAAAAGCACGTCGCTTATTGATGATTATTATATATGCTCGCAGAAAGTGCGTCGAAATTGTCCAAAATCGATTAATTTAGGTTGTAAAATAATTTATAATCCAGGTATTTTAACAAATAATTCTAAAAATATATCACGTTTCACTGCATCAAACTTTGTTTTAAATTGACAGACAAAGATGACAATTAAATTTTAAAAATAATGGTTTTTTGTATGCATTAAGTTAATGTTTTTTTTAAAATTCAGTTAATAATATACATTTCCTTCTTTAATTTGAACTTGACGATTTTATTTTTAAAAAATATTCATGAAATTTTACCGAATTCCCTTTGCAAGCAGTTGCTGGAAAATTCAATAATTTTATCTTACTGGTTATGATAATAAGAAATTAAATAAATACTGCATATCGTTTAAAAATATAAATTTCAAAAGTTGTTTTACAATTTTACCATCCATATTTTGTTTTTAAATTCACACAATATTCACAAATCCAATTAAAATTGCTACTCTTTCTTTTTTTGTTTGTTGGTTTTGATGAACGCCGAAGACACACTGATTAAAAATTTTACACACAATATTCAATTCATCACCATTTACATCAAACGATATTCCTATGTAACACTAATTCTAAATAAAATAATGTGCAACGTATAATTTTTGTGGAAATGATAATTAATAATTAATTAAAATGAAGAGATCGGGCTTTTTCTCGTTGCAAAAAATGGTTTTTGGAGTGTTTTTATTAAAAAAAAATGGCTCAACCAGTTTCGGTCACGATTTGCGACCCTGTTTCATGAGCAAACGCGCTGCTCGCTGACTAATATAAGAATTTTTGTAAATATCTCATCACGCTCTTGTGTGATTTTAAAATTTTAACCATAGAGAGAATCCACAATGTATCTTATTAGTAAAACAATAATTTAATTGTAAGACAATGTAAAAATTAACGTTTTTCCACTAAAATTACCGCTGCGTAGTTAATTTTTTACTGCAAAGGGTGACAAATTTCACGTTAGATTGTTAATAAATATCAAAAAATTATTTTTGTAGAGAAAAATCACTAATATCATATAAACTTATTAAAGTATCTTTCAATTAACCTTGAATATAATTATAAATTGGAAACCATCTTGAATAAACCCTTTTATTCTGAGCTCTACCGTTGAATGCTCTCTACAAATTTTGTTACTTCTAATTGAAAACAATAATATAATCATAAATGCAAAATACAATGAAGTTTCCTGAATTCATATTAAAAAAAAAAAATACAGAAGAGTGGCCGAGAACGAAAAAAGTACACCCTGATTGGAGAAATTAAATATTTATGATTGAAAAGAGTGGGTGGAGAGAGAGCAGGCGGCGGTTGAAACGCGAAAAGAGAGCTGAAGAGGGCAGCATCCCGCAATTGAATGAGCGCGCGGCGGTTTAATTGATAAGAATTACTGAGGCGGCATCATCAAGTTGCGCGCGTCTGCAGCAATAAGAGGCCAGTTAATTAGCTTTGCATGCACGCGAGCGAGGCGAACGGAGGACGAGCTCCATGCAGAGCAGACATCGGGGATGATATTTGACTGGGTGAGCGCGAGGGCTGCTTTTGCTATTCCTCGTGCTCTTATGTGACGGTCGAGCTGTTTAGCTGAATAGAAAGCGAGCGCGGCCTGAATGGAAGCCTAAGTGGTCCAGCAGCCACTATTCTTGGTCAGTGGCGTGCACACAACTGCAGGAATCGATCCTGCTTCTTTTCATCCTCATCATCATCATTTGCAGACCTCCGCCGACTTCCAACTCCGACTTCCATGCTAATAAAATTCGCCAAAGTTCCTCCTCCTCCCTCTTTCATATGCACACTCGAAACAAATTATTTCTACCCGCCGCTTTTTGCAACATCGCTCGTTGACGACGAGTGGCCCTCCAGTTTCGGCGCACCCCACCGAATTTAACACCGAAATAATTTATTCAATCAAACTTGACACTTTTAGAAATTTTCGAACGTTAGTTTCATCGCCAAATTTTATTCATATAATTAATTGCATTTATTTCGAATTCAGATCGAACTGATATAATTGAATCAACAGCACATCTGTAACCACACCATAGGAGACTTTTAATTATAATATTATCAATGTGGCTAATTTTATATTGCGTCATTCTCAAACGCCTCTCTAGTCTGCATGAAATGAATAAAAAATAGATCCACCAAATAGAGAAGCACACCAACAATAATTTAGAATTGAAAGCAAGAGAATTTATTGAAATTATTTATTTGATAAGAAATTTTAAAAGCGTGTTTTGTGAAATTATTTTCGATTGTTAGTTTTCAACGCTTTTTAAATGCATCGGAAAATTAAGGATCTCGTCTAATATATGATAAAAATAAATTATTTTTACTAAAATTTGCCATTTGAAGCGCCTGCGAAACTATTATTTTAAAATATATAATAAAACTTTGATATTTTGTCAAAAAATTAAAAATAGAAATATCTTTTTACAGATTATTTTATGTATTTTCTGAGCAACCAATATGATTGTTTATTAATATAAACACATAATTCATTACAATAAAAAACATGATTTTTAAACTTTTTTAAAACAAATGTTCAAATTTAAAAAATTTGAATTTAATAAAATGAATATTCACTTTGTTTAATAATTATTTCTAACGCTTTCTTGAATTAATAGAAACGAAGAAAAGAGTCATCTCTTTTCTTAAACGCAAACACTCCAGCCAACAACTGAAATTGCAAAATTGATGGGTAATTTTTTCAAACCAAAGAAATTTTGCTAAACCCTTACCTCAAAGAGGGAAACTGCAATTCCAATTGATCCAAGTGTATGGATCTGCTGGCCGAGGAAGGGTTGAATCTTCGTATAGCAACCGATGATGAAAATCTGGAGGCTGGGGTCGCATCCGTCTTGATCATTGGTGCAATCGCACGACTCAGGAGCGATTGCGGGTTGCAGCTCAGGCCTGTTCTGCATCCAATCCCTGAAAGATTCGACGCCACAACAAAACTGTTCGCTCTGCATTTTGTCCCAGGCGTCCTTAGCGAACTGATCTCCTCCAAAATCGGGAAGGTAATAAAGCTTGGCCATGCTTGTCAGTGAATTCTTGAATTCCGTCTCAAGTTCCGCTTGGTAAGATAATGCTAAGATGCCACCAGTCAGTTGGACTGCGAAAAGGATGAAAAGAAGGGCTCCATACTGAAATAAAATTCGACAATCAGGGTTAATATTGATTCTGATCCTAGTTTGTTGGTTGTGCAGTTTTATATTCAATCTAATTGCGTAGGTTTGAGTATTAAAATTAATAAATTATTTATTATTTAAGATCCAAATAAACTTCAATAATTGCGAGACATGAAATTTATTATTTAATTTTCTTTTAATAATGGAAAACATCTCAAAATTTGATTTTTTTATTAATTTAATAAAATGTGGAAATTTTTTATTTGTATAATTATGTATTTTCTAATGAGAACAGAGCCCGTTTTGTCACTCTCAATATCTATTCAATTAAATGATTTTTTTGCATTCTCGCTGATTGTCGTCAAAATATTTTGGGTTATCCAAAAGCTTAGCTTGGCAAGATTAATTAAGTCAACCATTAAACTTGCCTGGCTTATGGATCGCCCTCATTACTTTTTTATTTCTGGAATAAAAATTTTTGATTGCTGACCAAAGAAATAAGTCAAGAAGTTAAACTCTTATTGAAACAAACTTACTGTCTTCATTACCCACGGTGTCCTTTTGAATTCTCCATAGCAGCCCAAAAATGAAACTGGGATGTTGATTACTCCAGTTGATATAATACTTATTGCTAAGATTTTAGCCTATCGAATTCAATTAAACCAGTGTGATAATTTCTAAGAAACATAATAACGTTTTTACCTCATGATCACAAATCAGCAGATTGTTAAAAATAGTCGAACCCAAAACAGTTATGCTTATTCCTGCAACCTTTAACAAGTTATTAAAGTTTTGCCCTTTTCAGACATCAAATGTGTAAAGGAAATAGTTTTTCCAAGTTTTTGAAATATTTTTTTGATTAATAAAGGAACTATCTTACAAAAAAGAGAAGGTTGAGCATATAAAACCTGAGCGCAATACAAAGCAAGATGCCACATCCTATTCCAACCAAGCAGCCGTCTATGGGCCCCATGATGCTTCGTAGCTTTGGAAGTCCTAGGATGAAATCATCAATAGAAGTGTCAGAGTTGGATAATAAGCGCACGGGTATTTATACAGCCAATCCAAATTCCATCAATGCTTATCAAAGGGAGTGAAGTCTCATTGGATGCCAAAGTGCGGTGGTTAGTTTTGTTTTTCCCAAATGGTTGAGAATAACGCACGATTATTAATGGCGTATTTAAATTTAATATCCTTTTTGCACAGACGTCCGAAAAAAAATCAACTTTGGTAAAATTATTCAGCAATTTATTATTTCTTGAGGTTTGCGTATTATCTGAATTTTATTCAAAAGTTCTTTTCAGGGAATGAGAGAATCGTTCAAATCCCTTCAAATTGATATAAATATTATCTGCTTCATCAATAAGCTGACTGAAAATAATTGATAATTTTTTTCACAAAATTTTTTACGTTTCGGAAATTAAAATGAAATAAATACTAACAAAAAGGCAAATACTATAAATCATTCTTTTATCTTTATTTTTTATTCAAGCAGTATAATTTTTTTAACATAAAAACAAAAACGTGACTATTTACAACACTTGATTTACATAAATTTTATCAAATGTTTAAATTAGAAATTAGTGATTATGATACAAATAAACATTCACATTGTATGGTAATGATTTCGAAAACTTTGTGAAATTATGAAAGAGCATCAATGATGAATCAGACGGAAATCTTGCTTCTTTTTCTGTCCGAAAATGAATTTGCAAGGCAAAGGGCAAACACTCCGGCTACCAACTGAAATTGCAAAAAATCAAAGATGAGTAATTATGTTTTTTCGTAAGTTTTTTTTTTGCCAAACCCTTACCTCAAATAGAGAAACTGCTATTCCAATTCCTCCAAGGGCATCGATCATCTGGCCGAGGTAGGGTTGAATCTTCGTATAGCACCCGACCGTGAAAATCTGAAGTCTAGGGTCGCATCCGTCCTGATCATTGGTGCAATCGCAAGACTCAGGAGCGATTGCGGGCTGCAGCTCAGGCCTGTTCTGCACCCAATCCCTGAAAGATTCGACGCCACAACAAAATTGTTCGCTCTGCATTTTGTCCCAGGCGTCCTTAGCGAACTGTTCTCCTCCAAAACTGGGAAGGTAATAAAGCTTGGCCAGACGTGTCAGTGAATCCTTGAACTCCGTCTCAACTTCCGACTTGTACGAGAATGCCAAGATTCCACCAGCCAGTTGGACTGCGAAGAGGATGAAAAGAAGGGCTCCGTACTGAAATGAAAGGCAACGATCAGGGTTAAAATCGATTCTAATCCTTGTTTGCGGTACTTTTGTAATAAATCGAAACGCTCAGGTTTAAATCTCCAACACAAAACAAATTTCAAACCTCAATTCGGAATTTTATTTCAATTTAATTTTTTAGGATAAATTAAACGAGGAAAACTCTATTAAACGCGATTTATTTTCCTGAAAAATTTTGGATTTTTTTTTTCATTACTTCGCTGAAATATTTAATGCTATCCAAAAGCGTAATTTGGATTCATTCAAATTGCATGGCGGTTTCAGTTCATTTGGGTCAGGTTTGACTTTTGGATCACTCTCATTGTTTTCTTTTTTGATTTTACAAAATCTTGCTTCTCGGAACTGAAGAAAATGATGGCAAATTTAAAAAACTTACTGTATTCATCATCCATGGTGTTCTTTTGATCGCTCCACAGCAGCCCAAAAATGAAACTAGGAACGTAATTCCTCCAGTTGATATCAAAATTATGGCTCCGATTTCAGCCTATCAAATTAACTAAGTGTGATACTTCATCAGAAGCTTACAACTTTTTTTACCTGATCAGCGATAAAATCGTCAACACTCTGCACGTTGATCAAAGCAATGGAACCAACTACGATCATGCTGATTCCAGCAACCTGCAACAAAGTTATTAAACTTACAATAAAAAATGTTAAATTATTGTTTGCAAATATTTTTTATCGATATTAAAGGTTTTATTTAATTATGTAAAAATTATTTAATTAATAATCTTACAACAAATAGAAGGTTGAGCAAAAAAAGTGCCCATCGGAAAATCCCGAGGACAAATCCTCCAATGCAGTCAAACAAGCAGCAGCCCATGATGCTTCGTAGCTTTGAAAGTTCTAGGACGAGATGAACAATAGGTGTGAGAGGTTGAAAATTAGCCCACGGATATTTATACAGCTAATCAAAAATCCAACAATGCTTATCTTAGGGATTGACGTCTCTTTGGGATGCCAAAGTGCGGTCACTCTGGAGTGGTGAATCAGCTCTGTTTTTCGTCCCTTGTAGATAAGAATGTGCGATCAGTAATCGCTGTGTATATTTTAAATCCTTTGAAAAGGTTTAAAAAAAAAGAAATCACTTATCTATTATGCCTTTGGTAAGATTGTTCATCGGTGAGTAATGGTTGAAATTTGTGTATTATCTCACATAAGCACTTGTATTCAGAGAATTGTTCAACACTTTATTAGTATTGTCTGATTCATCCAATAAGCCAACTGACAAACGAAAGTTGAGATTTTATCTTACCAAAGATTGTTTGATCAAGAAAAGCAAAGACTTAAAAACAAAATTTGGAATTATTGAATAGGAATAAATAAATTGTCCAAACGTTAATAATTTACATTTTAATCTGTTAATATTTTTAACCTTTTTATGTGGGAAAATTAAATTATGCTCGTCAATTTTTTTTTTAACATTAGAAAGCATTGAAGCCATGGAAAAACTGGGGAGAACTGGTTGCTGCGGGCGTTGCGTAAAAAGTCAATCAATCTTGGCCGCATTGATACACGCAGCGGCGCTTTTCCAACAATGGCGAACCACCCCTGCGCGTCTATTGTTGTTCACTGAAAGGTGTGCCCGCGCGCGTTTTCTCTCTTCAAAACCAACTCCCGAAATTACATATCCACCCTGACATGTAAATATTGCGCGAAAAAAAGCGCCGCCTTCATTTATTTCTCTCTCTTCGACTGCACAAAGCATCGAAGGAAAAAAAAATAATGCTGTCGATATATGGAAATGCAAAGGAGTATAAAATATGGATTGGTTGCGCGGACGGATGTGAGCCGCTGATGCTGGACTCATTTCAATAATGAATCCTTTCCCCGTGTTCATTATTCTCCGCAAGAAATAATATACTTTTTTAGTGGAACTTCATATAGCTCCTTTAACTTCAAATTGTCTCAAAACTCATCATCTCTTCTATTTGAGAATTAAGTCAACATTTTTTAAGTTGTTTAAATAAATATTACAAAAGAACAATGATCAAAAACCGATAGGAGGTGGAGGTGACCCGAAGACAACATTTTTAGTCTAGAAACTTTAAAAGTGCAAAACTTTTGCCTTGAAATTAAAAAAAAAAACTTTCCACTTTCCACTATTTACATTTTTCATTTCATGAAAGTTACTGCTTGGAGTTCAAATTTAATTGATTTCAATATGAATGCAAATTTTTCTTATTATTAATAATGAAGTTCAACATGAAATTGAAAATTAATATCCTATTTATTAAAAGTTTTACCACCATCCTTAATTTTGGGTTGTCTTCCTCTAACGCCTCTTCTAATGGTTCATTCAATATAATTATAATTATTTAAAATGCTCCTTTTTATTTGACTCTTAAAACATAATTAAACCGTTGACTTATTATTTTAAGTATTTTAGTAAATTGATTGGACGAACAGAATTATCTGCAAACTAATAGCGTTTTGGAATCTACTCTAGCCAATATTTTATCAAAAAGAGGAAGCGTCTCTAGAGACCTAAAAGATTGGCGATCCTTCAAGCAATTTGACTGTTACTTATGCAACACGCTTTACAACTTAAGCACGCACATTGCATACCTGAGCATAAGCAGGCGTTATGACTTTTCAGGAGGAAAGTTCAAATCGTTTTTTATTGAAAATTTTCATCTTTTTTCTCCATCTGACTGAAAACTCAGAAGTGGTTTATTATTTCATTTCATTTTTACTTTTTTATTACTTTTGGAAACTTGGTACCCTAAAAATTTAACTTGTCCCAGTAGTTCAAAAGTTATGAGGCTTGAGCAATTACATAACTGTATTTCTGGTGGGAATTCTATGGTATGGGAAAACAGAAGAATCCTTCACGTTGTCATGTGACTCACTCAAATTGAAAATATCCGGAACCCAGCCTCAACCGTTGGAATCATAATATTAGCCCGGCCATCAAGATCAAGAGCTTTTCTGACTTGTTTATTTAAAATCGATGCTCAGAATGCTTGAAGTTGTTTTACATACTCATTGCCACTTTGACTCTCTCTGTAGACGCCAATAAAGTTTCACTGGCTCAATTCATGTCACCGATTTAGCTTTTAAAATTATTTAAAGCTTTTCATGTTTTGCACTGGACCTTATTTTTGCCAAAAACCATCAACGTCTCTAGGACTGCTGGTCAAGTAACTTGACCTGATCCTCAAAAGTCCTTTATTTTACAAAAGACTGTATTTTCACATAACCCTTTATTAAAAAGTCCTTATTTTTGCCAAAAACCATCATCGTCTCTAGGACTGCTGGTCAAGTAACTTGACCTGATCCTTAAAAGTCCTTAATTTTACAAAAGTAAGAATGATCTCATAATCCTTAGAAAAGAAGTCCTTTTTTTTTGCCAAAAACCATCATCGTCTCTAGGACTGCTGGTCAAGTAACTTGACCTGATCCTCAAAAGTTCTTCATTTTGCAAAAGACTGTATTGTCACATAATCCTTTAATAAAAAGTCCTTATTTTTGCCAAAAACCATCATCGTCTCTAGGACTGCTGGTCAAGTAACTTGACCTGATCCTTAAAAGTCCTTAATTTTACAAAAGTAAGAATGATCTCATAATCCTTAGAAAAGAAGTCCTTTTTTTTGCCAAAAACCATCATCGTCTCTAGGACTGCTGGTCAAGTAACTTGACCTGATCCTCAAAAGTTCTTCATTTTGCAAAAGACTGTATTGTCACATAATCCTTTAATAAAAAGTCCTTATTTTTGCCAAAAACCATCATCGTCTCTAGGACTGCTGGTCAAGTAACTTGACCTGATCCTTAAAAGTCCTTAATTTTACAAAAGTAAGAATGATCTCATAATCCTTAGAAAAGAAGTCCTTTTTTTTGCCAAAAACCATCATCGTCTCTAGGACTGCTGGTCAAGTAACTTGACCTGATCCTCAAAAGTTCTTCATTTTGCAAAAGACTGTATTGTCACATAATCCTTTAATAAAAAGTCCTTATTTTTGCCAAAAACCATCATCGTCTCTAGGACTGCTGGTCAAGTAACTTGACCTGATCCTTAAAAGTCCTTAATTTTACAAAAGTAAGAATGATCTCATAATCCTTAGAAAAGAAGTCCTTTTTTTTGCCAAAAACCATCATCGTCTCTAGGACTGCTGGTCAAGTAACTTGACCTGATCCTCAAAAGTTCTTCATTTTGCAAAAGACTGTATTGTCACATAATCCTTTAATAAAAAGTCCTTATTTTTGCCAAAAACCATCATCGTCTCTAGGACTGCTGGTCAAGTAACTTGACCTGATCCTTAAAAGTCCTTAATTTTACAAAAGTAAGAATGATCTCATAATCCTTAGAAAAGAAGTCCTTTTTTTTGCCAAAAACCATCATCGTCTCTAGGACTGCTGGTCAAGTAACTTGACCTGATCCTCAAAAGTTCTTCATTTTGCAAAAGACTGTATTGTCACATAATCCTTTAATAAAAAGTCCTTATTTTTGCCAAAAACCATCATCGTCTCTAGGACTGCTGGTCAAGTAACTTGACCTGATCCTTAAAAGTCCTTAATTTTACAAAAGTAAGAATGATCTCATAATCCTTAGAAAAGAAGTCCTTTTTTTTGCCAAAAACCATCATCGTCTCTAGGACTGCTGGTCAAGTAACTTGACCTGATCCTCAAAAGTTCTTCATTTTGCAAAAGACTGTATTGTCACATAATCCTTTAATAAAAAGTCCTTATTTTTGCCAAAAACCATCATCGTCTCTAGGACTGCTGGTCAAGTAACTTGACCTGATCCTTAAAAGTCCTTAATTTTACAAAAGTAAGAATGATCTCATAATCCTTAGAAAAGAAGTCCTTTTTTTTGCCAAAAACCATCATCGTCTCTAGGACTGCTGGTCAAGTAACTTGACCTGATCCTCAAAAGTTCTTCATTTTGCAAAAGACTGTATTGTCACATAATCCTTTAATAAAAAGTCCTTATTTTTGCCAAAAACCATCACCGTCTCTAGGACTGCTGGTCAAGTAACTTGACCTGATCCTTAAAAGTCCTTAATTTTACAAAAGTCAGAATGATCTCATAATCCTTAGAAAAGAAGTCCTTTTTTTGCCAAAAACCATCAACGTCTCTAGGACTGCTGGTCAAGTAACTTGAACTCATCCTAAAAAGTCCTTCATTTTACAAAAGACTGTATTGTCACATAAACCTTTAATAAAAAGTCCTTATTTTTGACAAAAACCATCATCATCTCTAGGACTGGAAAGCGAGAAGGAAAGAGATCGGAAGCTTGAAGGGAGTTTAATCACCATTTGCGTGCGCGAGAGAGAGGGCGAGCGTGGATTGAGGCTGCGCTGCGTTTTTTTGCGCGAGTCAAACAATGAACGCTGCCGGGCTGGAGACGGTTAAGCCTGGCAGTTGTCAGAGCACACACAGCTTCGCTATAAATACATTTGGTGCGGCGTCGGCGGCGGCGGCATTTTATAATGTGTGTGTGCCGGCGCAGTTTTCTTTTGTGAGATAGCATAAAGAGCATTGCCTCGCTTCAACAAGAGCGAGCGAGCGAGCGCCGGCGACAACGACGGTGGCGGCAGCAGCAGCTAGATGATATTATTGTGCCCGGCGTATTGTTGTGAGCCTCACTTGTTCCTCCTCTGTCGTCGCTGCCGCTTTTGTCCAGAATCAAATCTAACTTTCTATGCATATTTCTGTGCCGCCGCCGCCGCCGCTCACTCGCTCGCTCGCATTCACTCTATCGCCGCACAAAACACACAAAAGCATTGCTAAAACCCCATTCTCCACCTACAACTGGTACGATTCCACCTCCAGCAGCCACCCCCGTTCTTTTCTGCTCCGAAACGGCGTCTCAGGCTGACCGATGATTGGTTTTTTGTCTTACAAGTTTGAACTTTGAAACGATCTTATGCAGCTCATCCAGAAATTTAGAAAAAGATTCGCAAATAAATATTGTTTGGCAAAATTTTTTCTAAGCAAAAAGTCATACAACTTCATCTTTACGATAGGATATGCAATTCATTGATATTATTGTGAAGAATGAAAACAAAATATCCGTTTTTTTTGTGTGTGAATATTTGTAAAAAATTTTAAATTTTTTACTAAAAAGAACAATATCCGAGAAAAAAATTAAAATCCAGCATAATTTTTGTAACTTCTCTAATTGTTTGTCCAAAGGTCCAAAAAAAGTCATGCTTAGTCTCTAATATTTTGAATCGAATTGTCACATTTGGCAAAAATTCATTGTTAGATTTCACTATGATTAAGTTTATAAAATTTAATAAAATTGACCTCGTTTTTTCCTTTATGATATAAAATTTTGTATAGCTTAGTAAAAACATTCTAGTTTTAATTCAGAATATCTGTAGATTGCTTAATTTTTAATCATTAAATTGAGCAGGCTCAACACTAATACTAGCTTATAAACAATTTATATGTATATATTTTTTTAATGAATATGTATTATTTGAATTCAATTTAAGAATGATTGGTTAATAACAACGGATAATTTGACCATAACTATTTAGCTTAAAACCATGTCGCAGAAATTAACAAGGCACTAGAACTTATATTAATAAAGAAAACTCAATATATGTGTACTAGAGAATAAAACCACCAATTTTTGATTAAATTAATAAAAAAATTCTTAATAAAGTTGGTGAATTAATAAATAATATTAAAAAAATTCTATAGTAAAATAAGAAAATTTCTGTTAAAAAATTATGTTTAGTTTTAATGTTGATTTAGCTAAAAATTCTTTTATCATTCGACACCTTTTGGTCCAGATAGGTGGAGGCGTCAGGTTTTGGTTGGAAATCCGTGCGCTGCCCTATATTTGCTTATTTTCAGATGTGTCATTTATCAATAGACTCCTTCTTCTTCCCTGCTCCTCTATTCACCGGCGCGCTCAGCGCAACATTTTATCAATTCAATGGCGCGCGCGTTTCAATGGCTGCCCGTTTATTTGAATAGCAGTGCTGATGCTGCTTTCACTGCAAATATAAGTTTCGAATGAGCTGTGGGACACTTTGGAAAATGCTGCCACTGCTGCCGCTTTTCAAACCGGCGCTCGCTGTTTTTAAACTGCGGATCGATGATGCAGAAACTTTTGTGCTATGTTAACAACTAGAAACTTGTTTAAAAAAAAACAATTATAACGTTTTTTCGTTCCATTTAAATTTTTTTAATAAGTATTTGACCTTAACAATTATAATTATTTTTTAACAAATAATTAATAAATTATTATTTATTTATTTAATTTTATTTCTTTTCCAATATGATGCATTAATACAATAAACACATATTGATTTAAAATATTTTAAAGGGCAAAAAATTTATAATTAATAATTCAGGTTAATTTGAAGAAATCAATTAATTACTAAAAACTTTTTATGAGCACCTGATCTTGATGGCAAGTAAATATTTGATGGAGAAAAGGAGTTTATTATGATAATGAATAAAAATAATAAAAAAAGTTTAATTCAAATTCTTAAATGAATTGAAATTTTGACCGCAAGTTATAGAATTTAGGTTAGCACTAGTACGCGGGTACATAATAGAAAGAGATGTTGTAAATTAATCACTTCATTAAACAATTTGGACAAACAAACAACAATGATAATTATTTATTTCACTATCATTGTGATAAAACAGTTATGAATTTGGCGGATATTGTCATTTATTTAAAGAGAATAACACTAATTTTTATCGAAATTACCCGAAAATTTTCCCTTCATTCTTATTTTCATCGTCCTGAAAACATCTTGAAAAGAATTGTTAATTTGTTAGTGTGATTGTGTGTTTTTTGTAAATTTTAGTGTAGAGTTGTGTCGTGTTTGCGTTGTTAAGTGTATTTCAGGTTCTGTATTAAATTTTCAAAAGAATTTTAACGTGGATTCAGAAACTGAGCGAGAAAACCAATGCTCGGAAAAACGAATTAAAATTTCCAAATTTCAACTTTTAATTGGAAAGTTTAATTATTTTTAAAACAGATTAAAACTTGTGTTTTTAAATAATTAATATTTCAACTTAAAACTCAAAAATTAAGACAAGCGGCAACACCCTGAACAATCTGTTTTAAAAATAATTAAAATTTCCAATTAAAAGTTGAAATTTGGACATTTTAATTCGTTTTTCCGAGCATTGGTTTTCTCGCTCAGTTTCTGAATACACGTTCAAATTCTTTTGAAAATTGAAAAGTATTATTTTTAGAGACTGGAGCGCCTGCTAGTTTCCGCATTTCGTACCCGGCAACCGGCGTCACACATGCGCGCCGCCGGTTGCATACGCCATGATTTTGGCAGGCGCTCGAGTTTGCGGCCGCGTCGACCAGGTGGAGGCACAACCGGAGGGCCTCGCCACAGTTTCGAGCCGCCTCCGACCCGTGGCAGCAGGAGCCGCTCTCGGCGCCGCGAGTCGCGTTCGCGAGAACAAAGGGCGGTGCGCCGGTGCCGTGGTAGAGGGCAACAGCGCCTGCAAACGAGCGAATCGCGCCGCTCCGCGCAAATATTTTTATTGGCTTTTGTTTCTAGTTTGATTGGCTACTTGAATTCACCAATCGAGGCGGCCTTTGTTTTAGCGCAATCGGCCAAACAAAAGGCAGAACTCGCGCAATAAATCTCGACTTTCGTTGGATGCTGCGAGCGAAAGTTTCCAACACCGAATGTGCGGAAATGCAGTTGGATGCGAATGAGAGGAATAATTTTGTTTCCTGCGCGCTGAAAACATTGCGAATTTATTGATCCGTCCGTTTTCCGCTCAGTGTTCATGACAGTTGTTGCAGTTTAAATGTGATACATTAGACGTAGATTATAATTTAAAATAAGATTGAATGTTTTGCAGTAAAGAAGAAATTTCTCTCTACATTATCTAAAATATATTTAAAGGTTAAGTTTAATCGATTGAAAACGTACTCAAATTTTAGTGCGTCTTTATTTTCTAATTAGGTGATGAGCAACTTTTTATTTGATGACTGTGAAAGATTTTACACAAAAATTGATCGCAATAAAGGAAGGAGGTTAAAAAAATTTAACGATTGGTTCAATTCTAAAAAGTGTCTTATAATTTTACTCTAGAATTGCACAATCTGCTTAAAACCCCGGAGAAAAATCATGACGAGGAGCAAAGAGGTTCTTGTGGTCCTTTTTTTACATATTAAAGGAGTCCTTTTGTACACAAGAGTACAACAATGATCAACAGTCAATATAAAAACCTTCGTAATAAGAAAGTTGCTTAAAAAAATCCATCCATTGAGTGAAATTTAACTATTAAGTTAGGCTGATATTTGTAATTTTTGAGCACTTTTTATAGTTTTAATTAATAATTAGAGCAATTTGAAGTCTTTCTGTTTATATTTTTTTTTAGAAAATTTCGCTTCAAATATTTAGTGAAAAGCTACTTGACTAATTAATAGCTTAATTTTTTCAATCCTCCAACAATTTTATTGATCCAAATTGGCACACCTGGGTCTCTGGTCTCTCCCTCTATAAATTAGCTGTTTTCCACCTTGTTTTATCGATTTTCCTCGTACACAGCGCGAGACTTGAGACTCCAACTCTCTCTCGCTTGAAATGAATCGTCGTCATTTTTTATCCATTTCCTTCTCGTATCTGTTGAGCTCGGTTGCAGCAAGTCCCCCATTTTGGTGAAATTTATCACACGGGCGCAGTTTGTGCCTCTGTTTGTTTCAAACGTCAGAGCAGGGAGGAGGTGGAGGGTTGGTTGGTTCCTTTCCAGCGGCGGCAGCAGCGGCGGCGGCAATACTTTATTTTTTCGTTACATAGCGTTGCTCCTTGTTACACGAGAGAGGAGTGCGAGATGATCGATGTGCTCTCTCGCTGTAGCTACCGTTGCCCTGGCAACTGCACACCAGCCAGAGAAGATCTCTTCTAGCTGCTCTGCTGTTGCGCAGCCACGTGAAAATGCTGCTGCGAAAATGGCTTCCCTTATTTACTTGGAATTATCACTGCCCTTTCACGCCTTTCCTTCCAATACATATATTTTCACCCGAATTTTATAATTACATCTGCCCGAATTTTTCTCTGCTGTGGATTTTCTTTTTTTTTATTATTATTTCCGAGGAATGTTTGCGCCTTGAGCCAAAAACGCTGCGGCTCCTCTCGTCTTTCTTTCGCAGCGAGAGGAGGGAGTTTGCTCTCTCTCGCAATTCATAAACCGTGGATGAATATTTTAAGTCTTTGAACGTGGCCCGAGGGGGAGAAGAAAGTAATTTTGGACAGGAGGATCAGATTTTGTGCTGCAGGGGGTCGGTGGGTTGCCGAGGCAGGTTTTCATTTAGCATGCAGTATATGCGTGCAAGGAAGAAAGAAAGACGGACTTCCGTGTCGGCAAGATTAAAAAACAAAAGATTAACACAACTCAACACAAGCTGAGCCAAACATTTTGATGATTTACAGGACCAAGAAGTTGGAGGAAAGGGATTTTATTTAATTTATAAAAAATTTCAACGGAATAAATAATGTTACTTACAACGCACAATTTCTTTAAACTTGTAAGTGAAATGTTACAAAAATGATTCACATATTCACATAAAATAGAAATCTTTTCCAATACCATGTGAAATTATGGCGAATCAGAATGCTTTCTTCCTTTTCTGTCTGAAATTGAATTTGAAAGGCAAAGGGCAAACACTCCGGCAATCAACTGGAATTTAAAAAATCAAGGAAGGATGATTAAATTTTTAACGTGTGTTTTTTTGTTGCCAAAATCTTACCTCAAAAAGAGAAACTACGATACCAACTCCTCCGAGGATATTGATCATCTGGTCAAGATGGGGTTGAATCTTTGTATAGCAACCGATGGTGAAAATCTGGAGGCTGGGGTCGCATCCGTCTTGATCATTGGTGCAATTGCACGACTCAGGAGCGATTGCGGGTTGCAGCTCAGGCCTGTTCGTCATCCAGTCCCTGTAGGAATCCACGCCGCAACAAAATTGTTCGCTCTGCATTTTGTCCCAGGCGTCCTTAGCGAACTGATCTCCTCCAAAACCAGGGATGTAATAATTCGTAGCCAGCCTTCTTAGTATACCGTGGAACTGCCACCCGACTTGGTCCTTGTTTGAGAATGCTAAGAGGCCGCCAGCCAGTTGGGCTGCAAAGAGGATGAAAAGGAATACGCCGTACTGAAATATGACACGATTAAGATCTACTTCATGAATTCATTTTAATAATAGAGATAAAAATATCAAAATTCAGACATATGCACATTAAATGTTATATAATAAATTTATTTCAATAATAATAATAATATTAATTGATATAATTTTACATACTTGTTAAATAAAAAAGGAGTGAACAATGGCATTTTTTAATAAAAAACAACGAAACAACGGGGACCAAGGTCTCCCTTTTCTGTTGTATGAACGTCTGCTTAAGTAGTTATAATTTTTCTCTTAAGGATTTTTATTTTGAAAAATTTCTCTTCTAATATTTTGCGGTATATTGTTTTTTATCATTAGAATACTTAATTGTTTTGTTTAAAAAAAAAGAATATTTCAGTTTAACTCAACTTACCATGTTCAACATCCACGCCGAGCTTTTAATCACTCCACAGCAGCCCAAAAAGGATACTAAGAGAGTGATTCCTCCAATTGATGTCAAAATTATGGCCACGATTTTAATCTATCAAAATATGAAATTGGTAAAAATTAGTCAAGTGTGTAATTCTGCCTGAGAAGCATGATAATGTTTTTACCTCTTCATAAATGAAATCATCAACTCGCTGCACATTGATTAAAAAATCGGCGCCCACTACAACTGTACTGATTCCACCAGTCTAAATAAAAATTATAAATTATTACCATTTATCCACAGACATTGTAAAGAATATACAGTTTGAATATAAAAAGGTTCATCTCTTTCTGTTTATTAAAATCATTTAATACCATATCTAAATTTATTTATTATTCTTACAAAAAAGAGAAGATCGAGGAAAAAAAGTGCCCATCGGAAAATCCCGAGATCGCAACTTCCAATGAAGCAGCCCATGATGCTTTAATATAGGAATTTTTCAGACGAGACCAACGATAGAAGTGTGACGGTGAAACTTAGCGATATGATAATTATACATCTAATCAAAATTTCAACCATGCTTATCTTAAGAATTGACGTCTCTTTAAAACGCCAAAGTGCGGTCACTCTGGAGTTTGGTGAATCAGTCCTGTTTTTGGCTCTTTGCATTGATAAAAAGCTCGATCGCATATAGCAATTTTTAAACAATTTTAAACAATGTAATATTGACTTAGGTAGAATTATTATTTATGTATTTTTTCTAACAGAATCTAAATTATAAAATTTTTTATAATAATATTTTTCACTGATGAAAAGGCACTTTGATTATGTTTGGAAAATTAAAAAAAAATGCAAGTAGTGTCTGATGACATTTATACATATTTACTATTACAAAAAATATAAACAATATTTACTGAAAATTTAAGTTCTGAGCATCAGTTGAATTGAGAGTTTCTTTAGTTTATTGAGTTTTATCAGTTTAAATTTTTAATTAAAACCAAGTTAACAGCTTGAAAAAAAAAATAGAAAAAAGCCTTTTCAGGTTTACGATGCGCAATTTGAAGTTCATATTTTTGATTATTGAAACTCAATTTAAAAAAAAACCTGTCATTCGATTTACTTCCTTCAAGCCTGCTTAATTTCGCACACCTCGCTTTTTTGCTGACGCCTTATTTTCACATGGTTAAAATATTTCCCTCATTCTTCCGTGCCAATTCAATTAAGGCGCGGACAAAAAGCGCGACACGCCGTTTTTACGAAAAAATCCCACGTTTCGAATAGTTTCCCATTATTATGAAAATAAAATCACGCGCGCGATCATTAAGCGCACGACCGCGGAATGTCGAGAAAAAACGCTAGGCGTGAATTCGTGGCGGTCATGCATGTTGTTCTTATTTTGAGCGCGCGGCACAAAAACGAAGAGCGGCACAAAAGTACCTGCCTGGGTTTTTGTGATGCAGCTTTTGGCCGGCGGTGTGACTAATGCAATTAAGATTGTCCGACATTTAGCCGCGTTTTATTCTCGCCATTTCAGCTCTCGATTGTCGTCTGGCGTGTTTTCTGTGTCTGTCAATGGACTGCGCTGCTCTCTCGACACAATGCCCGCGCCGCCAGAGACTCCAAACAAACAAACAAACACAAACCCACTGATGTATGTAAAATAAGCCCGAGAGCAGTTTCACAGAGCGAAAGAAAGAAGCAGCGAAAAACCCCGGCGCGTTTGACTCTTTAATGCAACTAGAGCAACTTGCCAAGAGAGACTAGTTTTGTTTTACAAAACAAACACCGCGTGGTTGTTTAATAATAATGCGTGCAGCGAGTAGAGAATTTGTATAAAGCTGTGCCGCTGTTCACAGAAGTGTGTGCATGTTTAACATAAAGCATCGACATTCACACCGCTTTCCGCATAACTAACTCGGCAAACATCGGGAAATCTGTATAAAAAAGGAAATTTATAGCTGATTGAACGTGCGACTATTCATTTTTAAACGCGTTTCGACTTGTAAAGTGGGTTTCAAATCTAGTGAAGAAAAATTAAATTTGTTTTTGTATGCAAAAACGATCACTGTTAAATCTGTCTCGTGAAACTTTCATCTTCTTTACAAAAAAATTTAAACAAAGTCACCGTTGAAATAATTGAAACAAATTCTGGAGACCATTTAAAAATCTCAAAAAATGTAATATTCTGGTCATTTGTAATAGTTCTTTCTGTGCAAAATGCAATTGATCGAAATCAAGTGTCTTATATCTAAAGAGAAAAAAATGTTATTAAAAACATTAATATTACAATATTTTGTTAAAATTATTTACATATTCAAGAAATTTTATACTAAATTTTTTACATTTTTCGAACTTATGAAAGATTGAAGCTGTGGTCCATTCAACCCTTTATTGTTTTCATTATCTTGATTTGTTTTCAGTTTCAATAAAGAAAAAAATTGGTGAATCAGAATCTCTCAAAAAATTTAAATTTCTTTTTCCATTCTTCTTGTCATGCACAATTTGAGGAGAGAAATTTAAAATAATTAGAATGTTTAATAACAGTGCTAAAAAGTCTTCTAATGTAACACAAAATTCAAATTCTATTCATCTATTAAAACAAATATTAAAAAATATTTTTATAAATATTTAATGTTTTAATTAAACAAAATATAAAATAGAATTTGATTAATTAAAAAAATACTCTTTTATTTAAATCATTAATATTTAAATAAAAACTTAATTAATATTTGAACTAACATGACAATAATGAATTTAAAAAATGCTTGAATTTGAGCAGTTTATTAAATTAAATTTACTTTCCTAGCTCAGAACGTTTGTGATTACTCTAGATTTTTATATCTTTTTTATTTAAATTCCCTTCAGATTCTCTAGTAAATGTCAAAACTCGAATTGTTTGTACACGATTTGTTAGCATTTTGAATTTCACCAGGAAATTTTTACGCTCTGCAAATGTTTGCCATGAGCCAGGACGTACAATAGAAAAAGCGCGCGGATCAAATCAGGGTGCAAGCTAGGGGGCCATTCAGAAGAATAATAGAACCTGTTGTGGCCATAAAACTAGACCTTTGTCCGATTTTTCTAGTCACGCATAGTTTGTTTGAAGTTTTTGCCAAATATTTGTTGCAGCTTTTTCACTCACAGCATCGTTAATCAATTTAGCGCCGAAAATAAATTTACCACAACAAAAGCTGTCCCTAATTGAAAGGCACATTTTGCTATTTTATTCGGGTGACGATACGTTTTTCTATTTTGAAAATTAACAAGTCGGCGATTTATGACTTTTGGGTGACACAACGCGCGAGATGCAGCTTTTTTCTCACGTTTGGGTCATAAATCCAGAGTGATTTGTGCGTCGCGCAGCGATTTCCACGCCCTTTGTGGCCCCTCGGTGCGGACTTACTTCTGTGAATCTAATTAACGCAAACACCAGCGCAGCAAGCAAAGTGTTTACACACACAAAAGGAGAAAAAATTCCCACAGCCGCGGTGCAGCCGAGAATGTAATTTCGGGTGCGCTGCAAGGAAAGCAAGCGAAGGGCGATAGAGCATGTCGAATGGTCACTAATACGAGTTCTTCCACTTTCCTCCTCGGCCTACCTCCCGGCTCCCCTCACAGTAATTATAATCGAAGTAGTACCAGATACATAAATGAGGGGCCGAGCGAGAGGAGCAGCTCGAGGGGCCTGAATTTCAGAGATGGCTGCAGCTGCGGAGGAACTTCTTGGCAGCAGCGTTTAGGTCATCGAACCAATCGTGGCGCAGCATTTCAATCTCAAATCGCTTCTTGCTGCTACTCAAATTATTTAAGGAAGGCTTTGATATGATTTTGAACAGCAATTTGTTATTTTTGTTACTTTGAATGGATTTGTGAAGAATAAACATCAATTAAATTAAAATTTTAGATACTGAAAAATTTAAATTTTGAATTTTATCATAATCAGGATATATTTTACAGTTGCATGGTGTCCTTATTGATTTTACATTATGCAATTTTATTACTACCCAAATTTTAAAATGAATCTACAAATTAGGAGAAGATTTGACTTTTTTCTGTGTTTATTTTCAAATTTGGTAATTCTTCCTTTGGTTTGAATTTTTCTATATGAATCTCTAATAAACTTGTATATTTAATAAAAAAGAGTAGTAAAGTTAATCAAATCAAGTCGCACCTTTTAAAATATTAAACGTAGCCACCGCAACATCGTAAAGTGCAATATGTGGTCGATGCGCGGCACAAAGCGAATCTTTTGTGCGCCAAGTGCTTATGACAAACATTTTATTACGCTCATTACCGCGGTGAATGGTCTTTTATTTAACCCAGTGCTCCAGTTAATAGAGAAAAGAATGAATTGAAAATCTCCCCTCGACCAGAGCATCTGTATAAATGCATTAACCGCAGCTCGTCTCTTATTGTATGCGCCGCGCGCAAATCCGCACGCTCAATAAAGACCTTAAGCTTTTGACGAATCATATAAAAGTGTCGCGCAATCCCCAATTATGGCGACTAGTTTTCGTTATTGCGCCGGTAATTGCGGCGGTAATACAAATTTTATCGCCAGTCAAGACGGAGAATTCCTTTAAGCACTTTTTTATTCTTTTTATATTTCAATGTCGACGAGATGTAAAAATTATGCCACTCGCAATGTCATCGTGGTGGAAGGAGAGGGAGTGAGAAAAGCTCCTTCTCGCACGCTGTTTTATGTATTTCGCAAGCAGAGAGAGAGACGGAATTCAAGAAGCGAGAGACATGCAAATTAGGGTAATAATGTGAAGATGAACTTCCCTTTTTTTTGAGCATCTTCCCAACAGGGCCGTCGTTGGAAAGAAACTCGTCTAACTGATTTTAATGCTCGTGCAAATGGCGCGCGAGTTTTATTGGCTCGGAAATGGATCATTTGCATTTTATAGAGGGAATATATAGCTTAATCTTTAGCTACCACACTGTGCATTAAGCTGCAGCGGTGTTATAGTCGTGAATAGTTTTGAAATTTATAGGTTAAAATTACTTGAGAAAATACATAATAAGCAAGACCTGGGCAAGGCGAGTGATTTTAATGTTAAAAAAATTTAATTGATTTTTTTTTTATTATTATTATTGATTCTTCTCGGTCAATACAAAAATTTTAAATTGGAAAAATGAGAAGAGAGAAGATATTTAAAAACATTTAAACGTAATATAATTTTTTATTAAGGGTATAATTATCTATTTTTTTTTAAATTATATTAAAAAAACCTATTCATTATATTTTTAATATTTATTTTCAATTTATGAATTAAAATTTGTATAAATTTAATCAAGGTATCGTCTGGTAACAAGTCCTGCAGAGAATATGGAATAAATGGTCAAAAACAATAAAAAATATATAGGTTAATATCTAACATTTTAGGTACATGGAAAATGAATCTAGCAATACAAATTGTAAAAAAAGTATTGTCGCTGTGTAATCAATTTGAAATATGTAAGAATACCATAATTAACTTTTTTATATTTAAAAATTGACTTCACTGTAAGCAGAAGCAAGAGCAT